AAGCACAAGAAATACAAGCACGTGAGCAGGAGATTCAAGCACTCGGGCAGGGGCAGGCGAATAGGCAGGAGCAGGGGCGGGTGCAGGAGCAGCGGCAGGTGCAGGTGCATGAGGGGCAAGGTCAGCTGGGGCAGGGCGTATCTCCCGTCCTATCACCATCGGACGCCCCTGGACCAAACTTCATGTCGCAATGGCAGTCCCTTGCTGCTCCGTTCATTGGTGCTGGTGGCAGCAGAGGCGGAGGTGGCCGCAATACAAGCGCTGCTTGTGGTTCTGGTGGTGCTGGTGCCGGGGCTGGTGCTGCTGCTGCTGCTGCTGCTGCTGCTGCTGCTGCTGCTGCTTCTGCTGCTGGTGATATTGGTGGTGGCAGTGTGGTGGGTTCTGCTGAGAGGTATGGAGAGAGCAGTCAGATTGATATCAGCAGCAGGAGCAGCAGCATGGTGCATGGTGGTGGTGGTGGTGGTGGTGGTGGTGGTGGTGGTGGTGGTGGTGGTGGTGGTGGTGGTGGTGGTGGTGGTGGTGGTGGTGGTGATATCAGCCGGGACAGCAGCATGAGCAGGAGCGGGCGCAGCAGCAGCATGCTGCGAAGCAGCGTGGTTAGCCGGGACAGCAGCATGAGCAGGAGCAGCAGAGGCGGGAGCATGATTCGAGGGTTTGACAGCCGCAGCAGCAGTATCATGCGAGATAGTCGCAGCAGCAGCATCATGCGAGATAGTCGCAGCAGCAGCATCATGCGAGATAGTCGCAGCAGCAGCATGATCCGAGGGTTTGACAGCATGAGCAGCAGTATCAGCAGCAACACTACGGGGTTAAGTGTGAGCAGTAGAGTGAGTGTGTGGTCCCCGTGGAGGACTCCCAGGAAAACACCTGGAAGAAGTCCTGGGGTTATACCTGGGAAGCTGAGCTGGGGGTTGGAACAACAGCAACAAGAGCAGCAGCATCAGCAGGAGCAGCAGGAGCAGGGGCAGCAGGAGCAGAGCCAGCATGAGGGGCAGCAAGTAGGGAAGGTAATGAGGACGCCTGGATTATCAAGTGCATGGGGCTTTGCCCGAGCACTCAATGTTTTGCCTGCACACCAAACCCCTGCATCCGGTGAAACTGCCGCCACTAGCCAACCAGCGCTTTCATTCTTTCGGAGTGAGAGCGACGATTCGGACGACACCGACCTTCCGACCCCCAGTGCGGATGGGGAAGCTAGCACCACTCCAACAGCAGCAGATGCAGAACCAGCAGCACCGGAGGAGGATGAGCACTCTAAAGGCGAGCCTTCGGGGTTTCAACTGGAGTGTGTGAAGAATCTGGTTGTGTGGTGTACACATGCGGATCCGTCGTATCGCCCGACTGCCATTGTAGTGGAGCAGGCACTAAGAAGTATAGCGGCGACGCGGCGTGTGGAAGAGATTGGTCACAGGCAGGTACTGCTGGCACGGCTGAGCAACCTCACTCCGCTCGTGCATGTAGGGGCAAGTGAAATGAGCCAAGGCAGCCAGCAGCACATGGAGTGGTTGCTCAGTGGCTAAAGCCGAAGGTTTCAGACTGTAGGCCAATTTTGTCTTGATGGGACATGTTTTGAAAGTGCACTCCTGAGCAGTTGTCAATAATCCAATAAAAAACGTGAACAGGATTCCACAGATTTTGTGGGCAGAAAGTGTTTCCTGCAATGCAAGTAATGATTAGGGAGGAAGAAGCATACATTTGACTATGTTCCCTAGAAATTTACCTCATTGATTTTAGGATCCACAGAATGCTTGGTACATGGAATGGAAGCATACAGCATTTGATGGCGTTGTAGTCACTGCATCGCACCCTGCATGCACTAATACATTTGTTGTGACTACACTTGATGCGCAAGGCGTACCCTCATCAGTCTTCACCCAGCATCTAACTGGCATGCAGGTCATTCGACACAGCCCAGCCGTGGCGAGAATTCCATCTATAGAAGCGTGGCTTTCATGAAATAACCTGCAATTAACACAAACGTCAGTCGCGTAGCAGGGAAGCAAGGATGCTCACTAACAGGTAGTGGGAATCCCTACTTGCTTGGATGCATTGAAGGACTCTCTGGTCGCACGGATCTTGTCTATCGGCGCTTCTTGGAAGATTTCTTGGATGTGATGGGTGCGAAGACAATGAGGATTGCCACAGCCACAAGGGAAAGCGCTCCCACCAAAGGACCGAACTGAATGGCTAGATCCTGAGGAGGGGAAGAGTGGTGACAAGGTGGATGGAGACAAGGGGGAAGTGGAGTGTGGTGGTGAGATCACTTGTGGGTGAGAGACTGCGCGTGAATGAGAGTGCAAGTAAGGTTGCAAATTGAGGTAGGGTTTGAAGGGAAGAGGCTAGCAATTTGCAATGGACGGAACAATCCGAGAAAGTTGGAAAATGGGGTGGGGGGGGGAACAGGTTCTGTGGAGGAAATCACACGGAGGAGTTATGCAGAAAAGGGGTAACCTAGCTCGGGGTCATCAATGCGTACCTTGAGCTGTTGACGATTGTCGGCCCATCAGAACGTGAAGGCCATGCCACATGCACAGTTGTACACAAGGGAGGCAGAGCAGGGGAAAAAAACACACGGCAGATGAACAAGTATGGGGGCTTCACTCTACAATAACTGATCTTGATATTGAATGCTTGCTTGATTCGTCCCAAACTTTAATTTTACAAGGAAAAGCAGAGAAGGGAAGAGAAGAAACGGCGACTCACCCAGAGGTACTTGGCGGCTTGATCAACAGGAGCCAGCAGATCCAGCTCAGGCACGCCCGTCGACTTGGCCGTCTGAGAGAAGCGAATCAGCAAGCATAAACATTACATGATCAAAATCAAGTTGACGAAAACCAACATACGTCCCGAAGTCTTCAATGTTAACTTTTTAGTTCCCAGTCAAACCGTGGATTTTTTAGCTTTAGATTATTGTTGGTTGTGAGTTAGCATGACTGACCAGAAGCTGAGCCTTAGATGTGACTCGGAACTTGACGGTAGCTGGAGGGGTGATGAAAGTGCCCTTTTCCTTGGGCTTGACCACGTATGTGTGCGAAACCGTTGTTCCCCTGCGACAATGATAAGTGTACACCGTAGATCGGAGCCACGGAGAAGGTATACAGAACTGATCACCTTCTATCAATGCATTATTCTAAAAAGAATCGGCATAAGGGTAGACTTCGTGCAGGTGATTCTGAAAAACGAAACCAGTGGAAAACCTAATCGCTGGACAAGCTACGAGATAACTTACATGGCAAGGGAGTCCCAGGACTGGGTGGTGTTCCCGACCACCTCAAACAGATCCGACGGCCAGTTCTCGTCGTCCAACGAGACATCGTACGCGATGCTGCGAGCGAAATTTAAAATGAGGGAAAAAGAACGGAAATTTGATTTCGATGTGATGAACGATCAACGATGTTACGACATCCAACAAAGAAATTACCTTCCGCCGGCGTTGTAAATCTTAATGTTCACCGAAATGTCCTCATCGTTCTCCTTGATCTTCTTGATCTTGACGGATTTAGCCACGAGCAGGAATGGAACGTCGGCAGCAGATTCGGCTGTCTCGGCGATCGCATTCTGAACGACACACAGGAGGCCGAGTGCTACAAGAAACAGGCTAAGAATTCTCAAAGCAGCCATGGTCGGCACGCCAACGCAATGATCTGTGAGTGAAGGAATTAACTGACAAAAATCTGAAAGAAGAATCTGAATCAAAAACGATAATCTCGAGGTTCTAGATCGTGGAGGACCAACCAGGCCCAAGGTCGAGGTGGTGGGGATGGAATGGAAGATTTGGTTGGGCACGGCTTGTGTGGACCGTCTGTTACATCACTGATTTGCGAAACTCACGAAAATAATGTGGCGGCGAAGTGTAAAACTGTAGCTACGGGACGCGACCCATCCTCCATTGAAATTCGTTAGTTCGCCTAGCACTTACGGCAATTCGTCATCCTTCGCGAATGTTCAAACCCCAGTCAGGCCTCCACTTTCCTGCATGACTCTTCCTCTTCCTCTTGCCTTTTCACTCCCCCTCTTCCCCACCTCCCCTCCTCCCCACCCGCAGCATCCAGAGCTCCTCCCTGAACCCTGAACAAATCCCGAGGTCCCCAGCGCAGTTCTGGCATTCTTCAAGTGCCCAGCTTGCTTGCCTGGCCGCGTTTTGGGTCCTCCGTCTGGATCCAGAAACGGTAGGTCCTGTACACGTGCGCTTCGGCGGCGTGCACTTTTATGGGCTACTAAAAACTGCATGTCATTTCTTTAGCCTCGTACTGGTTTTCATAAGCAGTCTATTCTCTGCTTATCAAGTACAATCGTTTTGAATCCGCCCAGCTCAGATCTTGACGCTTAATTGGCTTAGGCAGTCACGGAGTATCGCTCAAGGGGGACTGAAGAGACACCATCTAGTGACAGCGTTAAATTGCGTCATGGCGGATCACGAGGAGGCTAATAAGGAGGAAGTCACGGGAGACGTGGAAGTGACGGAAGCGCAACCCGAAAAGGCCAAGGAGGAGAAGAAAGACCGCAAGGACCGGAAAGAACGCGACAAGGAAAGGGACAAGGACAGAGACAAAGACAGAGATAAGGACAGAGATAAGGAGAGAGAAAAAGACAGAGACAAGGATAAGGGTCGAGATCGGGACAAGGACCGCGATCGCGAGCGGGACAGGGACCGGGATCGGGACAGAGGACGAGATCGCGGGAGGGATAAGGATCGGGACAGAGACAAGGACAAGGGGAGAGATAAGGACAAGGAGCGGGAGAGGGGTTCGGACCGGGACCGCGATCGCGATCGCGATCGCGATCGCGACAAGAAACGCGACCGGAGTAGATCGCCGGAAGGCCGTTACCGTCGCAGCCGTCGCCTGGGCGGGTACTCGCCCAGGCGACGAGAAGGCGAGCAGGGGAATCGCACGCCGTCGCCGGGGTCGCGCTCTCGCAAGCAGCCGTCGCCGGAGAGGAGGAAGAAGCGCGGGTGGGATCAGGGGCCGGAAGGTGTGGACCCTGCGATTGCGTCGGTCATGGCACACGTGGCAGCCGCTCAGCAAATTGCCGCCACGCAGACCGCCGGCATGGGATTTGGCGGAATGGGCGGTTTCGGCGGCATGGGGGGGATGGGGGGGATGGGCGGAATGAGTGGTATGAGCGCGATGCTGGATCCCGCGATGCTGGCGCAGCAGGTGGCGGCGGCGCAGCAGACCGCCGCGGCGATCACCGCAGCCGCGCAGGAGCAGCATCTCATTCCGCCTGCGCCCGCTGCGCAATACGACGCGGGGGGGTTTGAGTCGTACCAGCAGCAGCACACCCCGCAACCGCTGGCGCCCGCGCAACCTTCCGCGCCGATGAACCCGGAGCTTGCGCAGCAGCTGCAGGAGGCGCAACAGAAGGCAGCGGCGGCGTTAGCCGCCGCAGCGCAGGGGATCCTTCCGCCGAGCCTCACTGGGGGAGCGCCCGGGGGGGGCGCGGAAGGCGCGGGGCTGCTGTCGCAGCCGGCGGGGACGCCGGCGCCATCGCTGGCGCAGCTGACGCGGCCGGCGCGGCGGCTGTACGTGGGGAACGTGGCGCCGCAAGTGACGGACAACGAGCTGCTGGAGTTCGTGAACGCGTCCATGGCGTCGATTGACGCCGCGGAGGACGGCCGCAAGCCCTGCATCGCCGTCACGGTTCGTACTGCGCTGCTTTGGGGTTGCGGTGAATGGGTTTGGTTGACGGTCAGTGTGCTGAGGTTGTGCGTGAGGTGGCGATTACTGCTTTGGGGTGCCGGTCTTGTGCGCTGGGCTTGTGGCTTGTGGGTTAGGGCGGCGGTTAGTGGGTTGGGGTGGCGGTTAGTTGTGGGGGACTGTATCACCGCAATTGACGGACAACGAGCTGTTGGAGTTCGTAAACGCGTCCATGGCGTCCATCGACGCCGTGGAGGACTGCCGCAAGCCCTGCATCGCCGTCACAGTTCTTGCTGCGCCAGGGTTGCGGGTAGTTTGTTGGGGTTGCTGTTGGGGTTGCAGCTAGTGCGCTGGATTTCCAGTCCGTACTTTGTGGTTGTGGGTAGTGCTTCGGTCAGCAATTGATGGTTGTGGTTCGTGCGTATGGGTTAGGGTAGGATATGGCTTGTAAGCACTCCCCTCACTCTTCCCCGGCCCCTCTCGCATTTACCCGTGTCCCCGCGTTGTTTCCCGTGCCCCTGCTCACTTCGCCGCCCACCCGCGCATTTTCTCTGTGCGCCGGCGCTCTACCTCCCCCCACCCCCCACCCTCCCCCCCCTCCCCTGCCCCCCCCCCCGTGCGCGTTTCCCCGCGCCTCTCGCGCTCTCCCTGTCCCCCCTCCGCCCTTCACCGCGCTTCCTATATGCCTAGTCGAACAAGGAGAAGGGGTTCGCGTTCGCGAAGTTTGAGAAGCCCAACCGCTGTTTTCCCATCTCCCCCCACTTCGTTCCCCGCGCTCCCCCATCCCCTCCCCCCTTCTTCTCCCCTCTCCGCGCTCTTCCCGCGCCTCGCTGTGCGCAGTCGAACAAGGAGAAGGGGTTCGCATTCGCGGAGTTTGAGAAGCCCGAGGACGCTACATCCGCGCTACAGCTGGACGGCATCGTGCTGCACGGCGTGGGGCTCAAGATCCGCCGCCCCAAGGACTACAACCCCATGCACGCCGTGAGTGAGAGTGCTGTGTGTAGGTGTTAAGGCGGTTTTTCGCAATTCACGGAAAGGTTGTAGCGCAGTTTCTCCTTTCATCGCGTTTTCCGCATTTCTACCCTTCCTTCCCCTTTTCCCCAAAATCCCACCCCCGCTTTCTGTCACCTTTTCAACGTATTTTGTCTTGCTTTACTTCTAACACCCCCCCTCTCCCCCCTCTCCCCACCCCCCTTCCCTCTCCTCCCCTTCTCCTCCGTTCTCTCCCCCTCCCGCCTCCCTCCACCCCCCCATCCATTATTTTCCGGAAAGAATCTGCCCAGTTCTGTCTGTTGTAGCTAATCCCCCTCCTTCCTCCCTCCGCCCCCTCACCCTTTCCTTCCGCTGCTTCATTTGCCCCGCTCTCCCTGCCACCATATGCAGCCTGGGTCAGACGCGAATGCCATAGCTCTCGGGGGAGGGGGCGTGCCCAGGCCGGTGGCAGCGGCAGCAAAGGAGGTGATCACCAACGTTGTGCCGGACGGGCCGAATAAGGTGCGCGCGAGCTTGGTATGAGGTGGAGGGTGGGCGTGGGGGGGCTAGGGCTCGGCTCGGACGAGGCATGGGGTGGGGCACAGGGAGGGCCGAGAGTGGCAGCTGCAGCGAAGGAGGTGATCACCAACGTTGTGCCGGACGGGCCCAATAAGGTGCGCGCGAGCTTGGATTAGGTGTGAAATGGTGGTGGGTGTGGCATGTGGGGCATGGGGGAGGGTGGGTGCGCCAATGAGATGTTTGGGCGGGGTGGGTTAACAAATTCAGCTATCCTCAGGCGCTTCATCACTCATGTTATTTCCCTTCCTTACTGTCTTCTGCTTTGCGTGGTGGTGCATGCGATGGTGCATGTGATGGTGCATGTGATGGTGCATGCGATGCTGCATGCGATTCTGCGTGCGATGGTGCATGTGATGCTGCATGTGATGGTGCATGCGATGGTGCATGTGATGCTGCACGTGATGGCGCATGTGATGGGGCATGTGATGGTGCATGTGTTTCTCTATGTGATGCTGCATGGTGTTTGCAGTTGTTCATAGGCGGCATTCCCCCATCGCTAACAGATGAAAAGGTACACTGAAGCGCTATGGCTCTGGCAGCATTGCAGCCTTTTCCTTTCCGTTTGGCCTCTCTGCATCCCTTGAATGCCTTTTTTTTTCTTCCACCACGTTCGAAGCTCTGTGCTCCATACCTCGCCATCTATTGATGCACCTCCATCTGTACCCCCCCATGTGCCTCGCTGTTCCCCTCTGTACCCCTCTGCACCGTGCTGATCAGATTCGGGAGGTGCTGTCAGCTTTTGGGCAGCTGAGGGCGTTCCGCCGGGAGCTGGATCTCAACGCCAAGCCCCCCTGCGCATTCGCATTCGCTGAGGTCAGTCAGTCTCTTGTACCCGAAACCTCCATGCGGGTTTAAGCAAGCACCAGCATCTGGGTGCTTGGGCAGCTGAGGGCGTTCCGCTGGGAGCTGGATCTCAACGCCAAGCCCCCCTGTGCTATTTCGCGTTTTCACGCACCAGCGCATTCGCGTTTGCTGGAGTCAAATTCCGTTGCACCCTAAACCCTGGACCATGAATTCCCTCCAAGCTCATGCGAGTGCGGCCCCAGCCCCCGCCACACCATCTCTTGCCCCACTTTCGCCTTCGCTTCGTTGTTTTTGAAGTAGATTCGAGCTCGTACTGATTCCAACTTTTCCCACCCTTCCCAAACCCACCCCCCCTTAAACCCCCATCTCCCCCCCCTCTTTCCCCACCCTCACACGCAATGTTTTGACCCCACCCTCTTCTCGCATCCCGCCCCCAGCCCCTTCTCTTTCCCCTTTCACCTTGCTAGTCGTTTTTTTCGCTCACCTGCTGCTACATGGTGTTTACTCCCTCAACACCCCTTGTTGTGTGCCCTGTTAATGCATGTCCCGCTATTGTGTGACCCGTTACTGTGTGATCTGTTACTGCATGACCCGTTACTGCAGTACATGGATCCGAGTGTGACGAGTGCAGCACAGGCGGGGCTGAACGGGCTGCCTCTGGGCCACCAGGCCATCCTTACCGTCGTCAGAGCCACCCCCGACGCGCCCGAGGAGGTACAGTGCGGTTCTTATGTTCTATTGAGGGCAACATGTCTTTGACGCATGTGAAATGACTGAACGGGCTGCCTCTGGGCCACCAGGCCATCCTCACCGTCGTCAGAGCCACCCCTGATGCACCCGAGGAGGTACAGTGCGGTTTTTAAGGTTGTGATAAGGGCATTATGTTCTTGAAGCGAGTAAATACTGAACGGGCTGCCTCTGGGCCATCAGGCCATCCTCACCGTCGTCAGAGCCTCTCCTGATGCACCTGAGGAGGTACGGTGCGATGCAGTTTACTCCTTCGACAGGAACAATATGCACCCGAAGAGCTTTGTGGGGACGGGGAGCTCTTCTGGAAATTGCACCATGCTGTTGCCCACACTGTGTGATTGTTGTTCTGAGAAATAGTAGCTGACTGAGAATAACAGCCGCTCAATCTCACTGTATACGTCTGCCAAATCCTTCCTCTTTCTCCACCCGCCCCCGCCTTCTTCCGCCTCTTCCCCTCTTGCTTTCTGCTGCCTCCTGCTGACGCCACGCCCACCTACTCCATTCCCGAGGAGGCCAAACCGTTCACCGTTGCAGGAATCCGTATTCCAAATCCCCACCCTCTCCATACCACCTCCCTCTTTGCCCTTCCCCTCCTTGTTCTTTCTGCAGCCCCCTGCTGACGCCACGCCCACCTACTCCATTCCCGAGGAGGCCAAACCGTTCACCGTTGCAGGAATCCGTATTCCAAATCCCCACCCTCTCCATACCACCCCCCTCTTTGCCCTTCCCCTCCTTGTTCTTTCTGCAGCCCCCTGCTGACGCCACGCCCACCTACTCCATTCCCGAGGAGGCCAAACCGCTCATGCAGACCCCAACACGCATTCTGGAGATCTGTAACCTGGTGCGTTGCTTGTAACCCTTTGTAACCCTTAGTTGTAACCCACTGCGTTGGTTGTAACTGGTAGTTGTAACCTAGTGCGTTTGGTTTAACCTGGATGCTAGTTGCAACCATCAGTTGTAAGGCTAGGTATTGCCTGGTGCATTCATTGCAATCTGGTATGTGTGGTGCATTGAAGGTGCGTTTACTGTTACCTGGAGGAAGACAATTGCCACGAGTGCTGACAGCAGTTGCAATCCACTCCCCTCCACACACACGCACCCACAACACATACACACACACTCCCCCTTTTCCTCTCCACCCCCTCCCACCTTGCCGATGCACACCCGTGCAGATGACAAAGAAGGAGCTCAAGGCGATGAGCGAGGAGGAGTTTGAGGACCTAGAGGAGGACATTCGCCTTGAGTGCAAGCGGTGTGTGCTGAGAGCATTGGGCTGTGGTGGGGTGTGATGCGGTGTGATGCGGTGTGGTGCGGTGTGGTGTGGTTCGGTGTGATGTGGTGTGGTCCTTGAAGACATGGAGGAGGACATGCCACTAGTGTTCTTCAGCTTTTGACAGATTACTCTTTTATCACTTTCACTTGCATGCCTGTTTGCACGCATATATGCCTGTCTGCTGCGCGCCTGTGTGCAAGACTCAGTCTGATTTTTGTGTGTGCAATACTCGGTCTGATTTTTTGTGTGTGGAATTTTGTACGTTTGCATTGGCAGGTTTGGCACCGTGAAATCGCTGCACATTGTTCGACCGAAGGATGTCACCAATCCCGATGATAGCGGCAGTGACAGCGATGAGGAGGAGGAGAAAGCAGAGGTGAAGGAAGAGGTGAAGGAGAAATTGGAAGGGATCAAAGAGGAGGAAGAGGAGGAGGGCAAGGAAGAGGGGAAAACGGAGGTCAAGGGCGAAGGGAAAGTGGAGGTGAAGGAGGAAGTGAAGGAGGTGAAGCAGGTAGAGGAGGAAGTGAAGGAAGAGAAGAAGGAAGGGGAGGAGAAAGAGGGAGAGCAGGGAGCAGCAGCAGGCGATTCGGTTAAGGAAGTGAAAGAGGAAACCGGGGAACAGGAGAAGGATGCTGAGAAGGCGGACGATCAGGGTGGGGGTGATGGGGAAATGAAGGAGGGTAAGAAGGAGGAGGAGAGTAAGGATGAGGAAATGAAGGAGGCTGATGCAGTGGTGGGTGAAGAGGCAGTGGAGGCTGCTGCGGAGAAGGTGGAAGGAGCAGCAGAGGGAGGTGCAGCAGCAGAAGGGGAGGATGATGATGTGAAGGAGGTGGTTAATGATGAGCAGGGTGGAGAGGAGGGAGGAGCGAAGGAGGAGGGAGAGAAGGAGGGAGCAGAAAAGGAGGGAGGGGATGAGGAGATGAAAGAAGCAGAGGAGGAGGCTGAGGGCAAGGGTGAAGGGAAGGCAGAGGAGGGTGGGGAGGGCGCAGATGCGGCAGGAGAGTCTGTGGTTGAGGAGGTTGAGGTGGCTCGAGCCGCGGAGGAGGGTGGGAAAGGCGCAGCAGGAGAGCCTGTGGTCGAAGTAGCTCGAGCAGAGGAGGAAGGTAGTGACTCGGATAGTGATGTGGTGGAGGTAGTGCCAGAGACACGAGGGGAGGTAGAGAAGGGAGAGGAGGAGAAGGGGGAGGAAGAAGTGGAGGAGGTGGAGGAGGTGGAAGGCGGTGTGCGTGCGTCTGAGAAGAGTGGTGAGGGGGAAGGACAGGCGTTGGATGGGTTGGCAGATATTGCTGCTGCTGCCGCTGCTGAGACGGCAGGGGTCAAGGAGGAGGGAGGTGCTGAGGGAAAAGAAGCTGAGCGTGGGGGAGGGTTTGCCCTTGATCTGAATGTGACTGTAGAGGGGGAGGAGGACGGTGGGAAGGGTGGAGGTGGGGAGGGAGGGGCGAAGGAGGAGGCGGAAGGGGGGAAGGAAGAGGCGGAAGGGGCTAAGGAGGAGGTGTATGAGACGGCCTCAGAGGATGAAGGGGAGAAGGGAGAGGGAGGGGCGGAGGCTAAGGCGGAGGAGGGTGCAGAGGCAAAGGAGGGTGAAGGGAAGGAAGGGAGTGGGAAGGAGGGAGAGGGTGAGGGAAAGGAGGGAGCTACAGGAAAGGTGGATGGCGAGGGAGAGACGGCAGGAAACACAGAGGCAGCGGAGGGCAAGCAGCAGGAGGTGGAAGTGGAGGAGGGTAAAGGGGAAGAGGAGAAGGTGGAAGGGAAGCAGGAGGCGGTCACAGTGGAGGGCAAGGAGGGCACAGCAGAAGAAGCAGCAGCGGTGGCAGCAGAGGGAGCAGCAGACGAGGGCAAGGAGGGCAGGGAGGGCAAGGGAAGTGAGGAGAGAAAGCCGGAATTCGCTGCAGCAGCAGCTCCTGCAACTGCTGCTGCCTCTGATACACCTGCCGCTCCTGCTGTCCCTGCTGTGGTCACAGCCCCTGCTGCTACTGCTCTTCCCACTGGAGCCACACCCGCTGCTGCCACTGCTGTCCCCATACAACCCCCTGGAGTCCCAGTGGCCTTCCCTGTGCCTGTGCGCATGCCTGCTCCTGGGCCCCCCATGCCTCTCATCCCAGGAGTCACCTTCCCCGCGCCCTTCCGCCCCGCAATCCTCGTCCCCCCAGGCACAGATGTACCTCCCCCAGGTGTCGCCACCCCAGCTGCTACTCTTGCTGCGCCAGGTTCTATCCGCTTCCCTGCCCCATTTGCCCCTGGTGCTCCGCCCCCTGCCGCTGGCAAGGGGTTGCTGGGGCACCAGCCGGGCCAGGTGGGAAAACCAGGAGAAGCAGGTAAGCCAGGGCAACCGGGGGCTATTGTGCTGGCTGGGTCTAAAGGGATGGGGGATTTGGTGGATGCGGCGAGGAGGGGGGAGAGGGAGGTGGAGAAGTGGAGGGTTGGGCGGGCTTATGTGGAGTTTTCAAGAGAGGAGAGTGTGAACCGGGCGGCGCATATGTTGCACGGAAGGGTGTATGCTGGGAGGAAGGTGACATGCTCGTTTGTGCCGCTGAGGGTGTATCAGAAGAAGTTTAACAAGGGGTTGAAGCCGCGCACGCACGAGGAGAAACAGGAAGCTGCGTTGGCTGTGCAGGCGCATCTGACGTCCCACTTACCTGACGACTTTTAGAGGATATGTAATTTGTGTGCTTTATGCTTGTGTCTGTTGAGATCTCGAGATGAGTGCTCTGATTTAACACCACTTTGTCTAGATTTCTATGGAACATTGTAGTGACTGCACTGGATTCGCGAACGTGTGCTTTTCGATTCTCAAACCTAGAAACGGAACAGTGTTTTAGTAGGGTCAGCTACAGTGAATTCAACCATTGTCAAACAGGGTAAGCGGGATGTTTCTCCAGGATCCCCGCAGATAACTTGTGCATAAAAGTTTCGATACCAGCTCAATGCATTCTCCGATTGGCTCATTGTGCACATCAGGGCAATAGACGAAACATTTGCTTTGTGGTGCCGGATTGGTCGTCTGCCATGCTAGCGGTTTACAAAGGCACTTCTCAGCCAGGGAGCTTTTGGTGATTGTCCGACGTGGCCGCGGTGGCCACCAGGCGCAATTGCTAAATCCGCCCCCTCCCCTCTTCGACCTCCGCTCCGCATCTCCCCGTTCAGTTGTTAGCGCCCAACAGGCCCCTCCATCTCCGCGGACGGAGGGTTGGCTCCTTTGGCGCATTTCCCCCGCAATCCCCCTCAGCCACGAATCCTGCAAGCTGCCTCCTCGCAAGCCACTGTTGCTACAGTGGTGACGTCACGTCCTTCTCCTCTCCGCTCCTTTGCCTCCCTCCTTATTACCCCAACACTTCCCCCAAGGATTTCCATTTTATAATTGACTGTCTGGCTAGACTTGCTTTCCTGGTACTAAACTTTCAGGAAAACAAGCCATGGCTTACCCACTGATCGCGTTGTTGGTGGCTTCGCTGGCCGTTCAGGCATCCGCGTCTGCACAGCAAGCCCAGGATGGCTGCATCACGAACTTCGATCCCACTGTGAACTATTTTCCGGACCAGTACCAGGACGAGCCGTTCGCTCTGCCGATCAGCCAGACTATCGTGGAGAAAGCGAATGACTTTACTGTGCAGTACGGTAACTATTACAAGGTCGTTAAGAACAGCTACGATGATACCACCTACGTCCTCTATCAGGTACATCCCATTCTCAGCTTCAGATCTGGATACACATTGCGATCATGCTCGCAATCTGTGACTCTGTCCTGATTTTCACATTACCATTTTTCTTGTGTTTATTGTAGTGTGGAGCTGCCAAGCCCACGAACTTCCCTGCTGCGACCACCCGGTTCTTTGAGATCCCCCTGAAGGGTTTCTCCGTCGACTCTTCAGTTGCAGGTGGGACGTAATTTTGCGTTTTTTTTCTGCTTCGTACTTTCTCCAGATTTCGTCTGACTAACTTGTATGCTGTGATTGTGTGTGTGTATGCTTTCATCGAACCGCCTTATGGATCGGTCAGTTAGCTTCGTCCAGGTAATTTACTTGAAAAATCGAATCGTCTAAGTGGCATGCATGTAAGTTTTCTACATGCGGTTTCACTAAGTATTTGTCATGGCCTCACCCGCAGATGCTGGGCGTGACCAGCCTTCTCAACGAGACGAGCAGCTACTCTGTAGCTCCATGCGTTCAGAAGCTCGTGGCTGACGGTGCCATGAAGGTTTTCAATGAGAGCGACGGTCTTTTCCCTGGTGCGGTTTTCACCGGAATGAACACCATGAAGCCATTTCCCAAGAACTATGTCTCGCTGGACACGTCGACCGACCCTGGGCCACTCAAGGTGCACATCACGGGATTTATTCGAGTCAATGTCCTCTGTTTCATGTATATCCAATCTATGTAGGAGACGGCTCTAATCTGACGCTATGGTGCTATTTTATGTCTTTCAGCGCGCGGAATGGATCAAGTACATGGCTCTGTGGTTCAATGCTGAGTCGCGCGCGTCGGAAGTCTACTCTGACGTAAGTTTTTCATTTTCGAGCTGTTGAGTCTGCTGGCTACCAGAGAAACTGTGGACCAACTTACAAATGCTTAAAATTTCTCTGCCTTGCCTTGCTTTTCCAGATTGAGACATCGTACAACTGCTTGAAGGCATCTGCTCCCAAAACAACCACGCCAATGGTTGGCTGGCTGAGCTATTTCATGGTGAGTCAGAAACAGTGAATAAATGTTCTCAGAATGTAAAACAGCTGTTCTGGATGTTAATTTCTCTGTTTGATGTGCCTTCTGTTTTCCCTAACAGGGTTCGTGGACCGTCTCCGGTGCTGCGTACAAGCTTCAGGTGCGTGTCAAATGTCTGCTAAATGCAGTGCGTGCTGCGTTTAAAACTTGTTATTTACGAACTCTAACGTGCTATTTGTTTCTTCCAGTATGTTGCGGACGCTGGTGGTGTGAGCCCCGCCAAGGCATTTTTGAGGACCTACAACATGTCTCTTCCATCTGATAAGAAGGCTTTCCAGTCACTGCTAACGGTAAGGCTTCCTTGATTCGCTATGGCTGATTATCCTGGAATTTGGTCACCATCGAGCTGAACAATCTTGGGAAACCGTTTTGCAATTGCAGACTCTTGACATCGTCATTGACGAGACCTACCTTATGACTGGCCCGTCAGGCTACAGCATTGATGCTTTTGCCCTGAATGCTGGCATCTCTGTGACTGATACCGCCACCTACAAGTTCCTTGTCACTCCCAATGTCTGGAGCATGTATGGCCGCGCCACTGGAGCCCCCAACTACGCCACTGGTACGCATTTGTTTCTCATGTTTAGCAAGTGAGGTTGCTTCTCTTGCATATGGAACATTTGTTTCTTACCAACCTTGGTCTTATCTGACCATCTCATGTGCAGACTGGTACGAGAGCGCCATTGCTCAGCCCCAGGTGGTCCTTGCTGAGCTGATATCGATCATGCATCCTGGCGACGTGACCGTTCCCGAGAAGTACTATTTCTACAATGTTGCCCAGGTATGTTTCCTACCCCCACTTTTCCTGGCCAGTGTTCGATTCAAATGCCTTTTTGCCAGATTAATCAACAGTAGTGTGACTATGCCCAACATGTTAACTAGCTTTTCTGGTGTTGCGTTTGCAGTTGGAGACGGGTGCTGTGGTCTCTGCAGCCAACTGCACAACCCTGGACCCCACGGAGGTGGTTAACCCCATCATCCCTGCCTGCTCAGCTACCATTACTCCTGAGGTTCCAGGAATGGCATCCCCTCCTGCTACCCCTCCCAGCTCATCCCCTCCCATCTCACCTCCTCCAAGCCCCACTCCCAGCTCGCCCCCACCTGCCCCCAAGGCTGCTGCATCCTCTGGCTCCCTGCTTGGCGCTGGTCTAGCTGCCCTTCTTGCAGCTACTATTGCAGCATTGGTCTAGAGGTATCCATTCTGGATGTATCCAGGTTGGCTTCTGTGTAGTGAGGGTTTAGGGTTAAAAGTCCGCTTGATGGTTGGGTTGGAGCCTGTGTCTGAGAATTGTCACATGGATTGTTGCATTCCACACTGTAGTACCTTGAAAATCCGCTTAATGGCCTACTATGTTTTTTTACAAATTTAGAATGCTTGCCTGTATCAATTGTGCAACGTTACAATGTTCTTAAAGTAAATAGATGAACTGAGGAAGAATTGTAAACGTACGTGCTGGACCCGCCCTTATGGTTGATTTTTCCCGAAAATTTGTCCAGGTTATCTACTGGTTTTATATTTATGTTTTAACCATGGGTATGTGTGAGTGAGTTGCTGTTCATCTTTGTTTTGTGACCCTATACAAGAACATGCCAGAACTCCCAGTCGCTATTTTGTAAAACTGTGTTTTTGTCGGTTGAGTTCAGATGCAAATCCGCACAGGCAATCTGAGCCCAGATGATATTGGCCCACTGTAGTATGCTGTGTGGCACTGGATTGCTTGTCGGCCACGTTAGCGGTGTCCTATGGCGCTTCCCCAGCCAGGGGGCTTTTGCCGATTGTCCAACGTGGCCGCGGCTGGCACCAGCCGCAATGCATGCGCTCCTTATACTGTAGAGTAAAACCTTCGCTTCGACCTCCGCTATGCTGTTGGCGGCCAACACACCCCTCCTCCTCCGGGGAGGAGGGTGGATTTTTTTTTGCGCATTTCCCGCATCCCCCCCCCCCCCTCCTCGCCTCCCCCCCTCCCAGCCAAGACTCCTGCACGCTGACGTCGCGTCCTTCTGCTCGGCGCTCCTTCGCCTCCCTCTTCATAATCCCACCTCTCCCCCAAAAATTATATTTCATAATTTGTTGCTAGCTGGGCTTTCTTTCAGGAAGACAAGCCATGGCTTACCCACTGATCGCGTTGTTGGTGGCTTCGCTGGCCGTTCAGGCTTCGTCTGCACAGCAAGCTCAGGATGGCTGCATCACTAACTTCGATCCCACCGTGAACTATTTCCCGGACAAGTACCAGAATGAGCCGTTTGCTCTGCCGATCAGCCAGACCATTGTGGAGACTGCGAATGACTTCACGGTGCAGTACGGTAACTACTACAAGGTCGTTAAGGACAGCTATGATAACACTACGTATGTCCTCTATCAGGTACATCCACTAAATCCCATTCTCAGCTCCAGATCTGGAAGCACATTGCGGTCGTGTTCACTACTCCGGAATGCGTCCTTACTTGTGTATCCCTTTGTGGTCGTGTTCGCTCCTCCGGTATTATCTGCTTATGTCAGTGTGGAGCTGTTAAGCCCTCAAACTCAGCACCAGATCAGCACATTGCGGTGTGTTAAGTCCTCAAACTCCTGGATGCGTTCTGACTTGTGTGTTATGGTCTTTATCGCCTTTGTCAGTGTGGAGCTGTTAAGCCCTCAAACTTTCCTGCTGCCACCACCCGGTTCTTTGAGATTCCCCTGAAGGGTTTCGCCGTCGACTCGTCTGTTGCAGGTGGGGCGCTATTTCGCTGTGTTTTATACCCTCTCGCTCCAAACTTCATTTGCCTACCTCGTGGCAGTGCTCTAACTTGTCTGCTGTGATTGTTGAATGTTGGCTTCCTTCAAATCGTTCTGCCTACGAACCGTTCAGTTAGCTTCGTCCAGGTAAGTTAGCCTTTTTACAAGATTTTGGTAACATCCACTGGATGCATGCATGGTATCAATAACCATTAAGCAATGTTGCCTTTTCACTAGGCTGTCACTGAGCAGATCGTTCTTACCTCACCCTCAGATGCTTGGCGTGACCAGCCTTCTCAAAGAGACGAGCAGCTACTCTGTAGCTCCATGCGTTCAGAAGCTCGTTGCTGACGGTGCCATGAAGGTCTTCAATGAGAGCGACGGCCTGTTCCCTGGTTCGGTTTTTGCCGGATTTAACAACCTGAAGCCATTTCCCATGAACTATATCTCGCTGGACACCTCCACCGATCCTGGGCCTCTCAAGGTGAACATGAAGCATTTGTTGTTCTCGGCCTGCATGTTTCAGGGGATCCTCTGTTTTATGTTGATTTAATACATGTAGGTTACGGTCCTAATCCAACGCTATTTTATGTCTTTCAGCGCGCGGAGTGGATCAAGTACATGGCTCTGTGGTTCAATGCTGAGTCGCGCGCATGGCAAGTCTACTCTGACGTAAGCCGTCTGTTTATTTCGAAGCTGTTGAGTTCATTGGCGATCAGATAAAACCTGACTCAAATGCTAAAGTAACTTTTCTGCCTTGCCTTGCCTTACTTGTCTGACTTTTCCAGATTGAGACGTCGTACAACTGTTTGAAAGCATCTGCTCCCAAAACCACCACTCCTATGGTTGGCTGGATGGGCTATTACATGGTGAGTCTGAAACAGTGAGAAAATGTTGTCAGAGAGTATACTACAGCTGTTCTGGATGCTAACTTTCCTGTTTTATGTTTTCCCTAACAGGGTTTGTGGTCTGTCTCTGGTTCTACATACAAGCTCCAGGTGCGTCTTGACTATCTGCCAAGTGTAGTGCTCGCTGTGTCTAAAACTTAAAATGATCAAACTCTAACGTGCAATTCGTTTCTTTCAGTACGTTGCGGACGCTGGGGGTGTGAGCCCCCCAAAGGCGTATTTTAGGATCTACAACATGTCTCTTCCATCTGATAAGAAGTCCTTCCAGTCTCTGCTTGCGGTAAGACATCCTCGCTTTGCTATGGTTAATAATCCTGGAATTCAGTCACGGATATCTGAGCTGAACAATTGGACAATCCTTGTCGCAATGGCAGACTCTTGACATCGTCATTGACGAGACCTACCTGTTGACTGGCCCGTCAGACTACAGCATTGATGTCTTTGCAAAGAATGCCGGCATTTCTGTGATTGACACTGCCACCTACAAATTCCTTGCCACTCCCAATGTCTGGAGCATGTATGGCCGCGCCACTGGAGCTCCCAACTATGCCACTGGTATGCAATTGAGGTTATGTCCCTTCACATTTGGAACCATCCTTTTCTTACCAGTACTAACCTTGGTCTTATCTGACCATCTCATGTGCAGACTGGTATGAGAGCGCCATTGCTCAGCCCCAGGTGGTCCTTGCCGATCTGATCTCTATCATGCATCCTGGCGATGTGCCTGCTCCCAAAAAGTATTTTTTCAACAATATTGCTCAGGTGTGTATCGTGTCACCCTCAGCCTTTTCTGGCAAATATTTTATCCAAATACCGTTTTCCAATTTTGTCAACAGTAAGTGTAACTATGTGCAACATGCTAAATTGCACTTCTGGTGTTGCTTTTGCAGTTGGAGACGGGTGCAGTGGTCTCTGCAGCCAACTGCTCAACCCTGGACCCCACGGAGGTGGTTAACCCCATCATCCCTGCCTGCTCAGCCACCATTACTCCTGAGGTTCCAGGAACGGCAACTGCTCCTGCTACCCCTCCCAGCTCATCCCCTCCTAGCTCACCCCCTCCTAGCCCCACTCCCAGCTCGCCCCCACCTGCCCCCAAGGCTGCTGCATCCTCTGGCTCCCTGCTTGGCGCTGGACTAGCTGCCCTTTTTGCTGCTACCCTTGCTGCACTGGCCTAAAGATCTCAGTCTGGATGTAACCAGTTTGGCTTCCATGTTGACAGCTTCCTCCAGGGTGATAGATATGCTGCTTGCAAGTGCCACATGGCTGGAATCCTGCTGGATTGCTGGAGCTTGTTTTTGTGAATGATGACCTAAGACATGGATTGTTGTATCCTGCAGTACATGATAATTGAAATTAAAGCTTGCAGCCCAAATTGCGGGGCGCGCTGGCCAAGCTTACTAAGGTTGACGGGGGTGATGTTTTGAGTGCTGTTTGGGTTGCGAAGGGTGGTTACGAGAAGTGAGATGCAATCTGATTGGCCAGATATTTTTTGTCGAATGGGAGAGCAGGGAACAACAACAATATGTTGATTGCAATTTGGGACTCTCGAAGCAAACCCAGGTTGCTCCCAGCGGTTTGCCGTCTCAACGAAAACCCCAAGGGTCTAGCGCGAAACTGGGCGAAAGCAAACAGCCCAACTCCCAACAAGTCAACTTCTTCTCTCGCCACCCAAAGGTCAACCTTACTAAGGTCAAACAATTTGGGCCGCGAGCTTTAAGATTCCGATTTACAGATGCAAACAAGCGAGGACTTGCCATGCCACCAAGAAGCCATCTTGAAGGAAGACTGTACCGTCATACCCCGGATATAAGCGCCACCCGCGGATAAGCGCCTGGCGCTTTTAATTGGCGTGTGGCGCTTATATCCGGAGCTCGATTATAAGCGCACCCCCTGAAGGCTTACGTATTATAAGAGCCACCCTTTGTATTAGTTTTTATAAAATTACTGGAATCTCTGTAGCGAAACACACTATTTGCATCCTCACTTGATAAAATTTCGACCCTTCACCCTCGCGCGACTCACTGCCCCACCCTCGCGCGACTCATTTGACTGCGCGTCCAGTCAGAATGAGCTGTCATGGGGCGAAATGACTCATTCTGACTGTGTGTGTTGGCAGTTTGCAAACTTACGCGAGATTCTTCTTCACACCCACTATGATCTTGACTCGATTGAAATCGCAATGACAAGATGAACATTTTGAAGTGAAAACAACTAGATTTCATATATGTCATTGTATAAGCCCTGGCGCTTATAAAATTACTATATTATAAGCCCACCCCCTAAAAAAAACACGTTTTATTAGTGCTCCCCATGGGGGTATATCCGGGGTATGACGGTATCTTATATGTTTACTGGTGCAAGTACAACCAGCTGGGCTACAAATATCACGATAATTGCACAGATATGTTGGTTGTGTACAAGGATGTGTAACAGCTCCCACCAAACGGACGCATACCGTACGTCATCATAAGCTGCATATGTCGCCCTTTTACACGCCATTGAGCACGTGACACAGAGTAGCTGCCAGCTGTCTAACTGTGACTGGCTTGAGCAATACAGCATCCATGCCAGCTGCTACACATGCCTCCGCCATGCCACTGTCCGTGCGTGCAGTGAGACCCACAATCAGAGGCCGCTCGTCAGGCCTGCCATTGGACAGGAAAGGAACATTAGAGGGGAGTCATCCGTAGAAATGAGGCACATAAGCAAGGTTGGCTTGCAATTGAAGGTTGGGAAAGAGGAGAAGGCTAAAGCGACTAGCGGAGGCGCGTCAGGTGTGCGGTGGGCTGGAAGACAACTGAAAATCTGTCCTGAATTCTCCAGGTACCCAATCCAAGGGGACAGTACAGAAGGACGACGGGCATGCGGAAGATAAAACAGAACACCATTGCTGTCAAGAATGAAGGCGACTCTTAATGAGTCACCGTCAAAACTACCAGCACAATGGTCGCACATTCTCGTGAAACTCTCTAAACTGGATACCCAATTAGGGGCTGCAAGAGAGCATACCGGAAGAGGCAGGGTATGCGGTGGGCAACCTCAAATCCATCAACGTCCGGCGTGCAGACATCCAGCAGCACGACATCCACCGGCAAAGGGGTGAAAGGGGCGACTGCAAGAGAGCCTACCGGAAGAGGCAGCGGAAGAGAACGCACCGGAAGAGGGAGTGAATGCGGCGGGCGACTTCAAAGCCGTCAACGTCTGGCATGCAGACATCCAGCAGCACGACATCCACTGGCGGGACTGCAGGGCTCTTGCGCGTGGTCAGCTCCATCTGGCACTCCTGCGCGCTGCCCACGCTGCTGACGTGGCACCGCAGCGTCAGCAGCATCTGATGCGTCGCGATGCGATTCGCCACATTGTCCTCCACTAGCTGAGGGAGAGGAGCGGAGGAGGGAGGGAAGAGGAAGGAACGTGTTAGGGAAAGCGGGACGGAAATCAGGGATGGAAGTAGGCAACGGAAGGGAGAGTGATGGAAGGAGGGTGTTGGAAGGGGGGAGGGGAGGGGGGGACAGTGTGACGAGGGGGAAAAGGGCCACAAGTGAGCAGGACTGGAGAGAGGACATACATGCACACATCCATGCACTCAGCAGCACATGCACTCACCAGCACATGCACTCACCAGCACATGCACTCACCTGCACATGCACTCACCGGCACATGCACTCACCAGCACATGCACCCCTTCCAGCTCCTGTACATAAGAATCCATCGACGAAACCGTGCTGTCACTAAAGGCCGAATCCTCATCATCATCCTCCTCATCCTCCTCATCCTCCTCGTCGTCTTCATCATCGTCATCCCCATCCATAAACGAATACTCCTCACCACCCTTCCTCGCCCCCCCTCCCCTGCCCTCAGCCCCATCCACACCATCACAAGCACCATCGAACCCACTGTTCCATAACAATCCATTGCTCCTCTCATCTCCTCCACCAACCCCATCAAGACCTGCCCTTCTTCCTCTCCTCCTCGCCCTACTGCTAGAAACCCGCCCCCCTCTCTCCCTAAACCCTACATTCTGCCTCTTGGTTCGATCCAGCACCAGCCGCACTACAAACGTCACCGTCGCACCCAACCCCTCTCCATCGCTCTCAATCCAAATGTACCCCCCCATCAGCTGCACAAACTTCTGGCAGATCTCGAACCCTAGCAACGTCCCTCCCTTCCTCTCTTCCCCTGCTCCCTCTACTCCGTTTCCTTGCCCCTCTCCTCTTCCTCCTCCTCCTGCTCCACTCCCCCCATCCGCATCACTCGCTCTCTGCTGCTGCAGCAGCAGTGCCTCATGCTGTTTGAATTCCATGGCAGTGAGCCCACACCCCGAGTCCTTGATATCTACACGAATGTTCACCAAGTCTTGACCCAACAACAGCTGCAGGGGCGAGACGGGTTGCATAGATGACCAAACGATGAAATTTAAATTGAGTCGGAAGAAAAAAAAAGAGAAAAAAAAGCATGTGAGGCCACATGGGTCCTTGTATGGGCTTGAGACAACAGCAACAGAACAGTTGATTCCATTCCACAGAGGATCAACTCCTACCTCCCACGGTGTGTGTGGCTGGAGGCCGAGCGAATTCTCCCCTGCGGCGGCAGCTGCCGCAGCAGCAGCAGGGAGGAACGATGCAGCAGCAGGGCCATCACCGGCAGTAAAGGAGGAGTGGGAGGAGTGGGGGCGGGAGGTCTGCCCATCATCCACTGACACCTGCACCGACACAAAACCCTGCTTGGGGGAACATGGGGTGAATGCAGCAGCGAAGGAGCGGAAAGCGGCAGTAGGGTTGAGGGGTCGTCCCAATGGTAGCAGCAGCAGGGAGGAACGAAGCAGCAGTGGGGCCTTCACCGGCAGTGAATGAGGAGTGGGAGGAGTGGGGGCGGGAGGTCTGCCCATCATCCACTGACACCTGCACCGACACAAAACCCTGCTTGGGGAGGCAGCAGGTGATAACACAGAAAAGGAAGGGAGAGAGGCGGTAGGGTTGAGGGGTCTGGCAGCGGCAGCAGGAAGCAATGGCAGGGCCATCCCCGGCAGTGAAGGCGGAGTGGGAGGAGTGGGAGGAGTGGGAGGAGTGGGAGGAGTGGGAGGAGTGGGAGGAGTGGGAGGAGTGGGAGGAGTGGGGTGGTTGAATCTACTAGTCGTTTACTGACACGCGCACTGACACAAAGCCCTGCTTGGGAGAGGGGAATCGAGGAACGGAGGGGTGGATGGGGGGATAAGGGGTGCCAGTGGGGACTTGAGATTGAGACCGGCAGAGGAAGGGAAAGAGTAGCAGGACGGTTGATTGAGCCCACTAAAAAAAAAACGGATACAACCATCCCGAATGAGGTTGAGCCCACTCAGCAATTTCCCTCCCAAACCTCCTTCTCTTCTCCACTTCACCTCATCCGCCTCCTTCACGGCTCACCCGAGCGAGCAGGTGGAGCATCAGCCGCAGAAACCTTTTCTCATCGTCTGACAAAAGCTCACCAACAGACAGTCCACACCCCCACTCACCTTCTTCTCCCACTCAACTCACCACGTACCGCGGCACCACTGAAGCCACACCAGCAACCAGACTGAAACCCATCCATCCATCCATCCATCCACCTCCATCCACCTCACCTCATCGGTTTTCTTCACGGCTCGTCCAATGAGGTGCAGCATCAACCGCAGCAGCCTTTTCTCATCGCCCACCACCACCACGTACCGTGGCACCACCCGCGCCACCTCCAGGGAGAAGCGCAACCCCTTCACCCGCACCAGCGGGCCGCCCTTCCCGCCGCTGCTTGTCCCTTCCATTCATGCCGCTCGCTACCCCCCCCTCTTGAAAAAAGGAGTGTTTTGAGACGTCTCGTGAAAAAAGGAGTGTTTTGAGACGTCTCGTGAAAAAAGGAGTGTTTTGAGACGTCTCGTGAAAAAAGGAGTGTTTTGACACGTCTCAAAACACTCCTTTTTTCACGTGGCCTTTTTCAAGGAGTGTTTTGAGATGTCTCAAAACGCTGCTTGTCCCTTCCATTCATGCCACTCGCTACCCCCCCCTCTCTCAGCCCCCCTCCAAAGAAGGTGCAGCGGTCGTCTGATTCTCCTCTCCTCTGGCTCACCTCATCGGTCTTCTTCACGGCCCGTCCGACAAGGTGCAGCATCAACCGCAGCAGCCGTTTCTCATCCCCCACCACGTACTGCGGCACCACCCCCGCCACCTCTAGGGAGAAACGCAACCCCTTGGACCGCACCAGCGGCCACGCCAGTTTCCCAGCCTCTCTGCACAGCTTTCGCAGGTCAAACGGGCGCTTCTCCAGATGCAGACTGGGGTCGTCAGGTGTGCGGTTGGGGGGTTAAAGAAGGGGATGGAAGGTGGGAGGACGTTAAGTCGATAAAAACAGGTCCAAACTGGACAGCATTCCACATGCACCAACTGGACTTGAGTAATATCTAAACAGTGCAGCTGGTAGGTGCATGTGGACTGCACAGCATAGCACAGCACAGCACAGCACAGCACAGCACAGCACAGCACAGCACAGCACAGCATGGCACAGCATGGCACAGCCCAGCATGGCACAGTACAGCATGGCACAGCCCAGCATGGCACAGTACCGACGGCGCTGAAGCCGCCAAGGAGCAAGAGTGTGTATAGAGGACGAACTCAACAGAGTGGCTGGCAACAGCACCTGCATAACCTCTCTCTCACCTCTCCTCCTGTCGACTGAAGTCGAGCACGTCAGTGATGAGCGAAGTGAGCAGTGAGGCACTGCGCAGCAGCACAGTCGCCACCATGGGTGCTGAAGCGAACGGGACAGCAGCAGCACCTACAACCTCCCTCCCCCACCCCCCTCCCTCACCTCCCTCGCCCACCTCCCTCTCACCTCTCCTCCTGTCGACTGAAATCCAGCACGTCAGTGATGAGGGAAGTCAGCAGCGACGCACTGCGCAGCACAGTCGCCACCATGGGCGCTTGCTCCGGGGTCAGGTCCTCCTCCTGGTGGAGCGTGAGGGGGGAGGGGAGGGGGGGGAAGGGGGAGGGGAGGGGAGGAAAAGGGGAGGGGTTGTAAAGGAGTGAGGGGATGCACTGCACAGCACTGCACAGCACTGCACAGCACTGCACAGCACTGCACAGCACAGTCGCCACCATGGGTGCTTGCTGCGGGGTCAGGTCCTCCTCCTGGTGGTGGGAGAGGGCAAAGGGGAGGGTGGGTAGTCAAGTGGGTGCGGGTGTCACTACAATGAGGTGAGCAGCGACGCACTGCGCAGCACAGTGGCCACCATGGGTGCTTGCTCTGGGGTCAGGTCCTCCTCCTGGGAAGGGGGGTTGAAGCAGTGAATAGTGGGAAAACTCAAGTGAAACAGTGCCCCGGGCAACATGGGTGCCTTCTCCGGGGTCAGTCAGGATCTCCTGCTGAGGAAGGAAGCAAGAGCAGTGATGGAGTGCAGAGGAGTGCGCAGCTCATGGTTCATCACAGCCAGAAAGACATTCACTACACAGTGCCTCCACCCACAATCACTGCTCCCACACAGTGCTCTCACATTGAGGATGGAAGGGAGAGCAGTGATGGAGTGCAGGGGAGTGCGCAGCTCATGGTTCACCAGTGCCAGAAGGTTGTTCCTTGCCATCGCTGCCAGAAAACCATTTACTGCACAGTGCCCTCCCATGGTCTCTCACATGCTCTCTCACATGCTCTCTCACATGCTCTCTCACATGCTCTCTCACGTGCTCTCTCACATGCTCTCTCACATGCTCTCCCACATCCTCATGTCATGCACCCTCTCGCAAAAGCCCACTACACTTACATTGAAGATGGAGGCGAGAGCAGTGATGGAGTGCAGAGGAGTGCGCAGCTCATGGTTCATCATAGCCAGGAAGTCGTTCCTCGCCATCACTGCCATCTCTGCCCTCTACCCACTGCCCACTGCCTTCTCACTTCAACAGGCCTCAACAGCAGGGCACAGTGTTCAGCAACTCACATTGAGGATGGAAGCAAGAGCAGTGATGGAGTGCAGGGGAGTGCGCATCTCATGGTTCATCACGGCCAGGAAGTCGTTTCTCGCCATCACTGCCACCTCTGCTCGCTGCCTTGCTGCCTGCAACGTGCGGTTCTTCTCCTCCAACTCGTCCCTCCGCCGCTGATTGAAGGGAGAGTAGAGAAGCAGAGAACAACAAGGGATGGGAAGCAGAGGACAACAAGGGATGGGAAGCAGAGAACAACAAGGGATGGGAAGCAGAGAACAACAAGGGATGGGAAGCAGAGAACAACAAGGGATGGGAAGCAGAGAACAACAAGGGATGGGAAGCAGAGGACAACAAGGGATGGGAAGAGGGGAATCGGGAAACGGTTTTTCCTCGCCATCACTGCCACCTCTGCTTGCTGCCATGCTGCCTGCCTGCAGCCTTCAGTTTTTCTCCTCCAACTTGTCTCTTCGCAGCTGAATAGCAAGAGGAAGGCAGAGGCGAGGTAGAGGAACAACTGAGTGGGAGAGGAAGAACTAGGGAGAAAAAAAAGTTGCTTCTTGCAGTTCCTTAGCTGTGTCGGCCCCTGCCCCCACTGCAACCCATACACCTGGAACCCCCAGTCACCCACTAAGTCTGAAGCAACAACTTATTACCCTTATTCGGCCTCACCTGCATCTCCTCCAGCACCGCTGCATGAGAAAGAGCCGGGGGTTTAGGGTTACTTAACTCCAAGCCAAAACAACAACTAACTCCTCACCCCTCACCTGCGTCTCCTCCAATACTGCGGCGTGTGAGAGAGCCACTGCCACCTGGTCTGCCACCACCTCCACCATCTCCACCTCGTGTGCCTTCCACTGCCTGCAATGGATGGCAAAGGGAGAGAGGAAGGACGTGAAGAGGAGGGGACAGAGAAGATGAGATTACAGGAGTCGTAGGGTAGGGGAGATGGACATCTCCATCTCCACTGCCACCTGGTCTGCCACCACCTCCACCATCTCCACCTCGTGCGCCTTCCACTGCCTGGTGAGGCAGAGCTGAGGGGAAGAGAGCACAGAGCTGAGGGGAAGAGAGCACAGAGCTGAGGGGAAGAGAGCACAGAGCTGAGGGGAAGAGAGCACAGAGCTGAGGGGAAGAGAGCACAGAGCTGAGGGGAAGAGAGCACAGAGCTGAGGGGAAGAGAGCACAGAGCTGAGGGGAAGAGAGCACAGAGCTGAGGGGAAGAGAGCACAGAGCTGAGGGGAAGAGAGCACAGAGCTGAGGGGAAGAGAGCACAGAGCTGAGGAGAAGAGAGCACAGAGCTGAGGGGAAGAGAGCACAGAGCTGAGGGGAAGAGAGCACTGAGCTGAGGGGAAGAGAGCACAGAGCTGAGGGGAAGAGAGCACAGAGCTGAGGGGAAGAGAGCACAGAGTTGAGGGGAAGAGAGCACAGAGCACAAGCACCATGAGTCCATACACCGGCACCACTCCCCCTACCCACTCCTCGCCTCCCCCACCACTCCTCACCATCACTGGCTGTTAGATTGACTAGTTACAGATCAACTCAACACCCACCAATTCTCACCTTCTAGCATCCCCATGCAGCACAAGCACCATGAGCCCATACACCGGCACCACTCCCCCTATCCTCTCCTCTCCTGCCCCACCACTCCCACCCTCCCCTCCTGCTGCTGCTGCAGCACCATCACCACTCCAAAGCAAGGGACTGCCTTCTCCTCCACTCCCATCCACATCCTCACCAGCTGCCTCCACCCCACCCGCACCCACACCCACACCCACACCCGCACCCGCACCCGCACCCGCTGCCGCTGCCGCTGCCGCCGCGGCAGCAGCAGCATCAGCCATGGCTTCGAGGGGCAGAATAGGCAGGCGCACAGCAGCAAGGGACGTGCTGTGGGCGGTGTGGGAGGCAGAGGCGCGGCCGATGAAGGAGGTTGGGGAGATGCGGAGGGCGCGGGGCGTGTGGATGAGCGACTGGACCGTGGGGTCGGAGAGAGGCACCAGCACCGGTTCTTGCACTAGCCGCCGCTCCAACTCGTGTGTCAGCTCTAAACAGGACCCGGCTGGTGCGAGAGGGGGGGGGAGGGAAGGGGAAAAAGGGAGCGGGAACGTGAAGAGAGGTGAGATGGAGGAGGGGGAGATGCGGAGGGCGCGGGGCGTGTGGATGAGCGACTGCACCGTGGGGTCGGATAGGGACCAGCACCGGTGCTTGCACTAGCCGCCGCTCCAACTCGTGTGTCAGCTCCAAATGCGAACCAGCTGGTGGAGAGGGAGGGGGGGCAGTGGTGGGGGGGTGGGAGAAAGGGGGAAGTGAACGGCAGCAAGGGACGTGCTGTGGGCAGTGTGGGAGGCGGAGGCGTGGCCGATGAAGGAGGAGGGGGAGATGCGGAGGGCGCGGGACGTGTGGATGAGCGACTGTACTGTGGGGTCGCAGAGCGGGACCAGCACCGGTGCTTGCACTAGCCGCCGCTCCAACTCGTGTGTCAGCTCTAAAAAGGAGCCGGCTGATGGGAGAGAGATGGGAGGGGCAGGAGAGAGGGGAAGTGGAAAGAGGAGTTGGAAAGAGAGTGCTGCAATCAGCACAACCGCAGCCACATCTCTAGTCGATTCGATACAGCACATACTGTCACATCTATTGGTAGCACTCCCTCCCAGGCAGCACGCCCAGGCAGCCGTCATTGGATAGGTAGAAGCACGCACAGGCAGCCGTCATTGGATAGGTAGAAGCACTCACAGGCGTGAGGCATCCAGATGGTGCAATTCTCCAGCATGAGCGGCTGGGCCAGCTCCACGAGGGTTATGTGGTGGTCTAGCGACTGGTAAGTAGCAGCACTCACAGGCACTTGATTGGTAACACCACTCTCAAGGGCTACTCACAGGCGTGAGGCATCCAGATGGTGCAATTCTCCAGCATGAGCGCCTGGGCCAGCTCCACGAGGGTGGTGTTGAGGATGGTGTGTCGGTCCAGCGACTGGCGGATCTCGTATGTCAGCATGCGCACATGCCGCCCCACCTCCTCCTTTCGCCTCATCACGTCCATTTCTCTGTCTAGCTGGGCCGCTTTATGCTGCAAGAAGAGCTCTCGGACCTGCAGGCAGGCAGGGAATGGGGAATGTGTGGGGGGCCGGGGGAATGGATATCCCTAGGCATGCGCACGTGCCGCCCCACCTCCTCCTTTCGCCTCATCACGTCCATTTCCCTGTCTAATTGCGCTGCCTTGTGCTGCAAGAAGAGTTCCTGGACCTGGAAAGAAGTAGTGGGGAATGGGATGGGATGGGATGGGATGGGATGGGATGGGATGGGATGGGATGGGATGGGATGGGATGAGAGAACTGGGATTCTGCGGCATGCACTGGTTTGCCACGTGCCGCCCCACCTCCTTCTTTCGCCTCATCACATCCATTTCTCTATCCAGCTGTGCCGCTTTATGCTGCAGCAACAACTCCCGGACCTGCAGGCAGGCAGTGTGGGGAGATGTTGAAAAATGTGAGGCATGCACTGGATTGCCACACGAGGTGACTTTTGAGTCGACTCAACAGTCACCTTGCACTGGATTACCACACGTGCCCTGATTGCACCTCTCCTCCGTGTGCCGCGTCACATCCATCTCCCTGTCTAATTGTGCTGCACAGTGCAGGGGAATGCGTGCAGGATTGGGGGTCTGAGGCATGCGCAAGTGGCGTGGGTTGGGTCCCCCACCTGCTCCTTGCGCCCAACATACCTGCTGCACGTGCTTTCGCGCGAGAGGCCTAACACAACACACCTTGACGTTGAGCAACGCAGGGATGACGGTGATGAGCAGGAAATACGGCACAGGACACAGCCGCACAGACTTGCACAGCACACCTCGAAACCAGACCCCACCTTGACGTTGAGCAACGCAGGGATGATGGTGACGAGGAGGAAGGCCGTGGCACAGGAGACAGCAGCAGGCTTCCAGGGCGATTAAGAGCCTCCAGGGGAATCCGCTTGCACCTGCTGCAAGTAATGCACTGACAGTCTACTTTCGAGGCGCCTCAAAAGTAGACTGCTGCAAGCAATGCACTGACAGAGAGCACGGCTGCACGCACACCCACCTTGACGTTGAGCAGAGCGGGGATGATGGTGACGAGCAGGAAGGCCGTGGCACAGGAGGATAACAGAACCATCTAGTGTACCTAACGTGCTGAACACACCCAATTCCACCGCACACACACCTTGACGTTGAGCAGAGCAGGGATGATGGTGACGAGCAGGAAGGCCGTGGCACAGGAGACAGCCGCACAGAGCACTTTGAGCACTGTTTGTAGCACTGCCACTGCACTGGGATGGGGACCATATGTCCACATGTTCACCAGATGAGTCAGACCTGGGAGAGTGGGGAGAGAGAGGGGTGCAGAGATGGAAATGAGAGGGAGAAGGGAGGCTGAACAATGACGCTCAGCTCATCGCAGAGCAATGCGGAGTGTGCAAGTCCCACCACAGAGCAGAGCACGATGAAGAGGCCGAACTGCAGCAGCAGCAGCAAACGACAGTTGGGGAAGACCTTTCAGTCGACTCAAAGCTCAAGGGATTTTTGAGGCGTCTCAAAAAAAATTGAGGCGCCTCAAAATTTGAGTCGACTCAAAGCTCAAGGGTGCACGGCTCACCACAGAGAAATGAGCGGGTGCAAGGGGGCTCACTCACCACAGAGCACGATGAAGAGGCCGAACTGCAGCAGCACCCAGCGGTGGGGAAAGACCTTTGCTCGCAGGAAGAAGTAGAGAAGCTCCAATGGGATGGAGAAGTAGGCCAGAGCTATGAGGAAGTCGCTGGGGGAGAGAGTGGGGGGCAGGGGGCAGGGCAGAGAGATGGGGGGGGGGGGGGGGGGGGGGGAGGAGAAATAAGAGAAAGAAACTCGCCGAGAAAGTGCGTTCTCTCCGTTGTGCGGGCAGAGGGAGTGGGAGAGCAACAGAGAAGATTTTTGAGAATTCTAAAAAATCAGGAGCGGGAGAGCAACAGCGAAGTCCACTTCCCTTCCTTGCCCCAACCTCTCTTCTTCACCCTCCCTTCACGTTTGGTGACCTAAAAGCGTGCAACAATTTCTCTCCCTCATCTCCCACTCTCTCCCCCAACCGTCTCCCCCTTCACTCCCTCCCCCCCCCCCTGCTCCCTCTCTCTCCCTTTCCTCTCACTCCCCAACCTGCGCACGTGGCGAGCTGGCATGCTATACCCCCTCTATTGACCCCTAACCCCTTCACCCCTAACCCCGTGCACCCCCACACCTGGCGAGCTGGCAGCGCGCGATGCCCTCGTCCAGCACGCCATGCTCGTCCGCTGCTCCCCCTGCTGCACCCCATGTTACATCCCCTTTACATCCACAACCACCCCACCCCAACTCCCCGCTTCCCCTTTTCCCCCACCTCGCGAGCTGGCAGCGCGTGATGCCCTCGTCCAGCACGCCGTGCTCGTCCGCTGCTCCCACTGCTGCACGCCATGTTCTTCCTTTTGTAACCCCATTTCCCTTCCCCCCCCACCACCCTCCCCCTTCATCCGCACCTGGCGAGCTGGCAGCGCGCGATGCCCTCGTCCAGCACGCCATGCTCGTCCTCGCATTGGCAGAGGAAGGGGAAGATGCGCGGCATGGGATGCAGCCTGGGGGGAAGGGGAGCAGGGAAGGGGAGGGCGAAAAGCAGGGAAGGGGAGGGCGTAAAGCGGGGAAGGGGAGGGCGTAAAGCGGAGAAGGGGAGGGCGTAAAGCGGGGGGGAGGAGACATCACAAAGCTTGTCGTCCTCGCAGGAGCAGAGGAAGGGAAAGATGCGCGGCATGGGGTGCAGCCTGGGGGGAGGGTGGGGGTTGATGGGGGGAAGACGGGGTTTTGGCACGATGTTTGAGACGTCTCTAATCTCGTCCTCGAAGGAGCAGAGGAAGGGAAAGATGCGCGGCATGGGGTGCAGCCTGGGGGGAGGGTGGGGGGAGTGACGTTGCTCGTGGTTACCTCTCATAACAGATGCTCATGCATACGAATTTCCGGATTATTTCCGAGTGAGAGCTTCACTAGAGTCTCGGTTCCATTCATCCATTCTGGCCCCCCCACACCTGTCTCACCCCATGTTTCCGCCACTCGCGTGCAGCGCAGTGGCGCACGCCGCCAGCACGGACGCCAGCGCCGCCACCGCAGTTCCGCCGACCATCCAACTCCGCGCCATGGCGCAGTGACGGGGAGACGGGGAGAGGGGGAATGCGCACGAAGCGAACCAGCGCAGGTCCGAAAAGCGGAAAGGCGGAGACCGACTAGGGGGAAGGCGGAACAGCACGGATGGGGGGAGGCGCAGACAGACTATGCGGGCGGCGGGGAAGGTGGAAGCAACCACTTAGACTTGGCGCGCGGCGAAAGCGGAATTGTTTGTCGAGGCGCCTTGTGCAAGAAGCCCTCCTAGCAGCCGTCGAGACAGCAGATTTCCCGACTTCTCAGATGACTTTTGAGTCTACAAAAAAGTCCAAGGAAGGTGCGCGAAATAGTAGAGCATACGCAACAACCGCACTCAATCTAGTACCCTGCTGATCCGCCTAAGGGGCCCGGAGGCAGCAGTGCAAACCGCGGCCTGATACGCAAGACTCCGTCTAGATTAGTTTCGAAAGGAATTGGGGGCAAGCGCGCGCTGCGGCTGCTCTTGTGGGAGGCAGACGGTAGGATGGCATCTTCCAGTGAACGGACAGGGCGGCGCGACCTCTAGCGGGGTTGAAAATGGCGCGATCACTAACAGTCGACCCTCGCTCTCACTCAGCGACGCGCAAGCGACTGCGTCGCTAACTATTCGACGTCCCGCATGCGACGGTTGCTTTCGCGAATGCTGGCTGGGGGGTAGATGCGACTCGGCTACGCAGAAAGACTTTACTTTCCTCGCCTCCTGTAGGCCTCGGTCTCACGGTCTCACGCCCGACGAATTCGGTCAAGACGACACTTGACGGCTGCTGGTTGTTCTACTTAGTTTCAACACACTAGTGTCGATGACACACCGCAGTCGCACAATTGACTAACTCTCCCATCGGAACTGATTGACGTTGATAACGTCGACCCAACGTCGACCCGTCTGAACGGAAGTCGAGCCAGAGTGGCTAGCGTCGTCTATTGAGGTGCCTAAAAAGAACAACTAGCGCTCCCATCCGAACCGACGACGCTGATAACCTCGAGCCGCCTGGACTGAAGTCGAGCCGGAGTAGCTAGCCTCGTCAGCACGCATGCGTGCGTGACGTTGATCACACGCTACCGTGCGACTCCGCTCGTGCAAGCAGCACCGCAACAGGTGAAAGCTCAAATCTGGGAACACTCTCACCTATTTACCTACTGCTATAATTAAGCTCATGCAAGAGGGTGTGCCTGTGCTGGCATGTGGACTGGTTGGCAACTAACCTTTCTGTTCTGTCTGCCCGCCCTGGCCGCTGCTGCTCTAGATTCCTAGGAATCGGGGGAGGAATGGACGTCCGAACACCTCGCGTGCTAAGGACGAACGAAGTAACGCAGGAAGCAAGACGGAGAAGTAAAGGGGCAGCAGCGCAGCTGGTCGGCGGCGCGCGTGCATGTAAAGGTGCGACTGGCGGGCAAGCTAGAACGAATGATCGATCGGCAGGATTGGCTGAAAGTGCGACAAGAGCTGGTTGGACGGGCAGATTGATGGGTGTTGTAGCAGGGAGTTTCGGGCACCTGAATAAATGATGGCTGCCCTTGAGATTCTTTGCCGCCCATCGCCTGTTGCGCTATGCTGCCTTGTGCGTCGATTGCACCAAGTTCCGTTCTGGCAAGCAGCGAAGCTGCAAGGCAGCCAAATTACACGTGAGCCCAAATTGTAAGTGCTGTACAATTAGATTCATAATACAGATACATAAGCCAAAGTGTTGACTCTTATCACCACTTTCATTAACGAATCAAAATCCACTGACGCGTTCAACCATGAAGTGTGATCCATAGAATTCTCATTTCACCTAGCGTTTCGCTTATATAAAGTGTCATGACATTGACGTAAGCTCACGGGTCGGCTGAAATAGGTGCCCCCCAGTACACGCTCTGGCTTCGCCGGCTCCCGCTTTTAACTCTCCAATATCACTTTCCTCCGGAACGCGTCTACGGCCTGCTAGGACGCACCGCGAGGCCGTCTGGCCTCGAACAGCCTTTCGCCAAGAAATTATAGCGGAAGTCATCGGTGCGACATGTTTTGTGGGGAGAAAAGCATTGTATGGCAGAAGAGCGGTGCGGGGACTTGCCAGCTCGAGCAGGACAAATGACAGGCTTGATCATTCGTGGGAAAATTGGAAATGGATGCACCGTTTCAGTGGGATTCGAGAGGCACAATATAGGGAGAGGTTATATCGAGGAATAGAAGGGATGGCTGGCATCGGCTGGCGATTTAGCGGGCTTCAGCCGGGGACGACTGATGCAGCCGCGATGCCGCGTAGCCATCATGGGAACGGCGGTGAAGCCAGCCCAAGCGTCGATCATCGTACTCTTTCAAGGGAGGACAGCGACGTTGACGGTGACGGTAACGGTGACGGTGACGGAAACTGCGCTAGTAGCTCAGTTACTGGTGAGGAACCAGTCAGGAACAAAAGCAGGTGTCTCTCTGAAGACTCAACGTCATCTGATGACGTCAAGAGTGACAATAACACGTTCAGGACGCGTGGCAAGCAGGGAGTGGTCCGAATCTTGCTCTTCTGGCCCAACATCATTGGGTACCTGAGAATCGCTCTCCTCCTCACCCTCCTCCTCTACCTCCCCCTCTCAGCACCTCACCCCATCAACCTCTCCACCCTCTCCGCATCCTCCTCTCTCCCATCTATAGCCCACGCGCATGCATCCGTTTACCCCCGTGCACACGCTTCCCCCTTTGCAACCCATGCCATGCCTGTGCTGCTGTGTGCGCTGCTCTATCTGCTCAACATGGCATTGGACGGTGTGGATGGCGTCGTGGCTCGCCGCCTGCGCCAGGTGTCGGCGTTTGGTGCGATCCTGGACGTTGCTGTCGATAACGCACTGCGCACCGCCATGTGGGCGGCTGCCGTGAACAGTGCCATGCTGACCATGAACAGTGTCAGGCTCGGCATGAACAGTGCTGGTGGGAGTGTGTTAGGCATAAACAGTGCACGGATGCTGCAAGCAGCCGCCATCATAATCCCATGTGTGGAATGGTTCACATTCGCCTGCTCCCATGCCAGCACGCTTGGCAGTGCCAGTGGCAGTGGCAGTGGCAGTGCAACACGTGCTCATGGCAACGACACCACAGCACTTGCGGAAGGGGCTAAGGGAGGGGTTGGAGTGGCAAGGCAAGAGCAAGAGCAAGGGGTGGGGGAAGGACAAGAGCATGATAGTAGAGGGAAAGGAGTGGAGCAGGGAGCAGGGTTGAAGATGCGGTCGAAGGAGAGGAGCAACTGGAAGGACGTGTGGGGTGGCAAGAACGACAGTCCGCTTCTGGTCTCTCTGGTCATGCGGAATGGCTTCAAAACGTACGTGACATGGGCTGTGCTGTGGGCTATATTATATGCTCTCTGATGTGGGTGTGGGATAAGCAGAGTCATGGTTCTTCTAGGGTGTCATGTCATAGTTAATATGGATTGGCTACCCACCATCATCACCTTCATTGCATGATCACTCTCACTCTCTTCCAATTTTCTGCGCTAGCTCAATAAGTCACCTTTTCATGGCCTCTTTGCTTGTCTTCTCTCCCCCGTTTGACCTCCCTCCATTCTGGTCAATCACAGCCCGGTTGGAGTCATGGCAATTGCAGGCCTGCACTTCCTCCCTCTCTGGCTCTTCCTTCGACACCATCTACACTTTTTCCTCACTTCACTCTCACACGCATATTTGCAAAGTCAACCACCGTTGCACAATCTTGGGATGGTTGGACTTTCGGCACTGACCTCGCTTCCAGTGGGGTTGGTTCTTGGTACTGGAAGGCTTTTGTGTCTGTTTGTGGAATTGTGGGTTATTCGAACTCACCTCCTTCAGATTCTCCTAACCGATGCGGAAGCTCATTTATGCAACTAGTCTTTAGCTGTACAGGATGGACAACAGCAGGTGGTGGTGCTTTTTCTCAAGGTACTTAGCAGCAAATGCACTCTGCATCCAATCATCTACTAACCCGCTGCGTCTGGGAAAAGTTGCATCACTTGATTCTCACATTGGTTGGTATCAACAACGAGGAAAGTGTTGGCTAAAAGCAGCTGATTTCTGCTAAATGTTGATTACGAAATCATGCTAGGAGGGTATCTACCGTATGGCCCCGGATAGAAGCGCAGGCCTATGTTAAGCGCATGCGCTTGTATCTGGAGCAATGTGTTGGAATTAAGGTTAATTCGGGTTGCTCCAATAAACATATGTAGTGGTACATCTACACTATGGTAGTGTAGAATACATTGGTTGGGTTGGGAGAACTTGTGGTGTACACTCTTTAGAGTGGACCACCTCCCAAACCCTATAGATTAGGGTTCTCTCTTGTTGGCATTTCACTTTTGGAAACCACTTTGGTTCTAGCATGGTTCATGCCCAAGTGGGCTCATAGGATTCCTAGGCTTTAGGAGGAGGTTCTAAGACTACTAAAGCTTCCGTTAGTATCTTAGTCCATTCTAATATGGTATCAGAGCAAGGAAGGCCTAGCAATCTGTTGGAATAGGAGTTACTCAAGACATTGGACCATAAGATCTTGGTGGAAGCTAGTTAGCTTCCATTCCTCCCGAAGGGCTGCCGAAATTGCACCGTGGCGGACTCTGGACGTGGGAGGGAAGGAGGAGAGAAGAAAACTGCTGGAAATCGTGTGGATCCGTTTGGGAGGACAAGAAGAGCGGCATCCATCCACGGAGGCGCTCAGTCAACTTTGGCCGATCAAAACGTGCAGCATACCGTTGGAAAGGTTTTAGCACGCTCTACAACGATTGCCCCAGGGTCGTTACCAATCAACGACGGGATCGGACGCAATTCGCGAAAAACTGCCGGCGGACGAATTGGAAAATCGCGAATCGGGGAAGATTTAAAGCGCGGAAAAAAGATTGGAGGCCAGACGCCGATAGAAGAGGCCAGGGCGCATCCAACAAGCCAAAAATCGGGAGAAACGGTTGAGTCTTCGTTGACGAGAAATCGGCCAACTTCGACGAGTTTAAGCGGCCAGCTTGGAAGCGGGATCCAGGAGCGCAATACATCATCGGAACGGTCTTGGAGCAAAGATTCATCTGAGACAAACGGCTCATCATTCGGAGGTTCGAGCGCGGAGTTACGCTCCAAAAACCAAGAGGGGGCAAATCTGTCCACATCGTCTCCACCACCGCCGCCGTTGCCTCCACCACCACCTCAACGTCAATCTCCAGAGTGTCTGCCGCAAATGGATCATGACTCAGGTGAAGGGAAGCTGGAGAGTGCGCCAAAGTTCGACGGGAGCGACTATTGGACTTGGAGCTTCCGATTCGAACAATGGGCAGAGGCACACGATCTATGGGGGTACTTTGATGGTTCGGAGGAGCGGCCTGCATCGGGTGACGCACGGCTGAAGTGGGAGAGAAAAAATCAGAAGGCATTCGCTCAATTCTGCAATGCCTTGGTGCCAGATGAGCTAATTCGCTTGGTACGGGAGTTCGGCGGCAAGACCGAGTTGGGCAGCGCACCTGTTGATGGCGGAGCAAGAGCGGTCACCCGAATTCCTGCAGGCACAGCAGCGGCATACATACGAGTGAAGGAGTTCTACCTTCAGCGTGGATTGTGTAACCGGATGGCACTCTCTGAGGAGCTCTCTTCATTGAAGATGAAAGAGGGGGAGGGGGTGGCTGCATACTGGGCGCGTGCCGAGGACTTGAGGTCCAAGTACTTGGCTGCAGGAGGAAAGGAGGAGGTTGAGGAGTGGATGATGAGGGTACTCATAGGACTACCTCTTCACTTTGAGATGCTGAAGGTGGTGTTGAACAACCAGTCATCATCGCTCACTAAGGATCAGCTGCTTACCTCCTTGAGGAGCGAGGAGATGCGGATTGGTGTCGCACCAAGATCGGATGGTGTAGCCACATTTGGAGCGGGTATGAAAGTGGGCAGCAGCGGCAGGGGAAATTGGGTCAAGGGAGGAAAGCATGGAGACAGCGGTAGCAGCAGTGACACCAGCTCGGGCAGATGGGGTCAAGGGAAAGGCAAAGCGGGAGTGCTTGATTTCCCTTGAGGGTCCAAGGGCATGGCTCCTCGGGGGTTGTGTCATGGCTGTTGGGATGAGGGACATGCATGGCAGCGATGTCCTCATCGACCTAAGGGAGGCATTCCGGCATTCTTAAAGCGGGGGGGGGTCGTGGGTCCAACGGCAAGGCACAGGTGGCGGATGAGGAGGAGCAGGATGACAAGGCAGAGGCAGTGGTTGGAGAAGCAGTTGCAGCAGTGGGAGAGGAGCAGCCGCGAGAGGGGTGGTGGATTGACAGTGGGGCCAGCCACAACTTTACTCCTTATGCATCGGACTTCAAAAGTAAGCTTCAACCACCAGAGGTTCGGGGAGTTAGATTGGGAGATGGACGGGTGGTGAAAGCTGTTGGCATGGGTGAGGTGCCAGTGGTTGGTGCTGGAGGTCAGCTGCTGAGGATTCAAAAGGTCCACCTTGTGCCTGAGATGCACACGCGTCTGCTGTCAGTCCCACACCTCACCTCTCGAGATGTCATTGTCACATTCAAAGGCAAGAGATGTGTCCTTCAACGGGGGGAGCGGGTGTTGGCGATTGGAGAAAAGGAGAGGGGAAGGGACCATGGATTGGTGCGGATGTTTCTTCCTCTTGCTCAGGGCACACAGGGCAGTGCTCTTGCAGCTAAGTCGTCCTCCTCATTTTCCCCATTGACCCTTGCCCATCGCCGCCTTGGTCATACCGCCCCCACAACATTGCAACAGATGGCTCGGGGGAACAGTGTACTGGGCTTTGAGATTGGGGGGGGGAACACTGATTGTTCCCCATGTGAGCCCTGCTTATTGGGAAAGTCGGCTCGGAAGCCGTTTCCCCATGAGGCGTCTCGAGCACTTGGGCCTTTGGATGAGGTCCACATGGATTTGTGGGGGCCGGTGCGCACACCATCACTGGGAGGAGCGGTATATGTCCTCAGTCTCATTGACAACTTCACCAGACGAGTTTGGTCGTTCCCCCTCCCCAACAAGGAATCGGCCATAGTTGCAAAAGTCCTTCGCCAGTGCCATAAGGACGTGGAGTTGGAGTGTGGGCGGAAGCTGAAGGCTGTTCGCTCGGACAGGGGTGGCGAGTTCTTGGGGGAAGCTGTAAAAGCATGGAAGGCGGAGTTTGGCATTAAAACTCAATTGAGCGTCGCAGATACACCGCAACAGAATGGGGTTGTGGAGAGGTGGCACAGGACGATGGCAGAGGGGATTCGCACATTGTTGGTCGACAGTGGTCTCCCTGCTCGCTTGTGGGGTGAAGCATTGATGTGGGTCGTGTGGGTTAAGAACAGGGTCACCCACAGTGCTTTGCCTGCCTCCATCACACCAATGGAGGCGTGGTCCGGCCAGAAGCCGCATGTGGGCATGGCTCGGATTTGGGGTTGCATGGGGAGTGTCATGTTGCATGGGCATGAGAAGGGTGGCAAGCTTGATGCACGGGCTGTCATGTGTGTCTGTGTTGGGGTGGACATGGAGAGCAAGGGTTGGCGCATGCTGGACCCTTCTATCATGCGCATTCGCATTGCTCGGGATGTTGATTTCCTTGAGAATGTGATGTGGAAGGATTGGGACAAGGCAAAGGAATTTGGGGAGCTTCTGCAGGATGCAGCTGCAATTTCCCAACTCCTCCCTCTTCCACTCTCGCCACCTTCAGCAACGGCTGACGACGTTGAGATGCCACTTTCACCACTGCCACCGGCACCGCTGAGTGTGTCGGTGCAGCAGCAGCCCACCCCTCTGCAGCAGCTCAGTGGCCCCTCGGTCATTCAGCGGAGATCCGCTACACAGGCTACTTCCTCTTCCTCCTCCTCTAGTCAGCGCTCTATCCCTCTCTCTACGGGTGCCCCTCCGTCACCAGCGACTACCTCCCCACCACCGGTTACGGGTTTGCAGGCGCTTGGTATCCAGTCTGGTACAGGTGGTGAGGAGGTAGGGGGGGATGCTGGTGTGGTTGAGGGCATGCTATGTTTGGCCAGGGAGGTGGAAGGTGTTGCACTGGCAGGTGTGAGCACAGGTGATGTCCCACGCACACTCGCTGAGGCCCTGCGTGGCCCTGAGGGCCCTGCGTGGAAGGCAGGCGCTGAGAAGGAGGTAAATGCAATGCGCACTATGGGTGTATGGGATCCAGAGCCGGTTGACTTACCTCCAGGTAAGAAGGCCATTGGGGTCCGGTACGTTTTCCGCATGAAAACTGACAAGGAGGATAAGGTGGTACAGCACAAGGTTCGCCTTGTTGCTAAGGGGTACACTCAGGAGCCTGAGAAGGACTATGATCAGGTATTTGCCCCTGTGGGCAAGCTGACCTCAGGTCGGGTGCTTCTTGCAGAAGCCGCGGTAAAAGGGTGGCATGTACAACAGGAGGATGTTGATCATGCTTACCTCAATGCACTCCTTCAAGAGGAAGTGTATGTGAGGCAACCTGAGGGATTTGATGATGGTACAGGTAGGGTGCATCGCTTGCGCAAAGCTCTCTATGGGCTCAAGCAAGCGCCTCGTGCTTGGAATGAGGAGATTGGTACCACCTTGATTGCAGCAGGGTTAGACCGCAGTGCATGTGATGAGGCTCTGTACATCAGGTTTGTGGATGAAGAGCTAGTGTATGTATTGGTGTATGTGGATGACCTCTTGCTTGTGTCTCCACGCTTGGAGCTGATCGGTCAGGTCAAGGAGGTGCTTGCTCAGAGGTACCAGATGAAGGATCTAGGTGACTTATCCATGTACCTTGGTGTGGAGGTTCGCAGGTCGGTCAAGGATGGGTGGTTGGAGATTGGTCAGGAGAAGTATGTCCGTGGTCTCTAGGGAAGGTTTGGTGATCTGCTGAAGGAGACCCATAGGGTGCATACTCCAATGTCACCCAATGATCTCTCTAAGATCAGGAATGGTACTTGGTCAACTGAGGAAGGTGTTGCAGCTGATGTCAAGGTGTACCAGAGTCTCATTGGCAGCTTGATGTATGCTGCTGTGACCACCCGTCCTGACATGTCTTTCACTGTCAACACCCTTGCACAGTCCTGCGTGGCACCAAGACGCATTCACATGCGCGCTGCACTGAGAGCACTCAGGTACTTGGTCGACACAGCTGATCGTGTCATCAGGTATGAGCGCCAAGGTGGTGAGCAGGTTGTCGGGTACACAGACTCGGATTGGGGTGGTGAGACTGATGGCAAGAGTCGCTCTGCCTACATCTTTAAGCTGGGAGGAGGAGCAATCAGCTAGTATAGCAAAAAGCAAGACAGTGTTGCAGCAAGCGTTTCTGAAGCTGAGTACAAAGCTCTATCGGAGGGGGCCAAGGAGGCCATTTGGTTGAGGAGTCTGTTGGCAGAGATGCATGTGGGGGATGGGGGGGCTATTCCATTGCTCTGTGATAATGAGGCAGCTGTCTCCCTTGCCCACAATCCCGTTCTCCATCAGCGCACCAAGCACATTAAGGTGGCATGGCACTTTGTACGGGATGCGGTGCGCCAGCAGGAGGTCGAGGTGCACTCAGTACGCTCCCACCTCCAGGATGCCGACATGCTCACCAAAGCTCTTCCAAGCTTGCAGCTGCATGAGAACCTGGAGCGCATCGGCATGCGAGTGATGGCTGCGAAGGCCAAGGCTTCATTCGCTATAGGGGTTGTATTTTGATTTATGGGTGAACTTTAATGCTTATTGGAGCAAGGGGGGGTGTTGGAATTAAGGTTAATTCGGGTTGCTCCAATAAACATATGTAGTGGTACATCTACACTATGGTAGTGTAGAATACATTGGTTGGGTTGGGAGAACTTGTGGTGTACACTCTTTAGAGTGGACCACCTCCCAAACCCTATAGGTTAGGGTTCTCTCTTGTTGGCATTTCACTTTTGGAAACCACTTTGGTTCTAGCATGGTTCATGCCCAAGTGGGCTCCTAGGATTCCTAGGCTTTAGGAGGAGGTTCTAAGACTACTAAAGCTTCCGCTAGTATCTTAGTCCATTCTAATACAATGCGCTTATGGCCGATCCTCAATTATAAGCGCACCCCTTTGGAAATCTTGACTTATTATAAGCGCACCCTTTTAGTTAAAAAAAATATCATTTTTTTTTTACCTACCTAGCCTACATGTTTTAAACTTTCCATTAAGTTGGACAATCACATACAAGGGTGGTCTCTGCTGTCCTGCACTACACACCTTTCAACCTGCCTAGTCTACCCTACTGCCTATTCTTCCTCCTCGTCCGACTCAGGCTCCGTGGAGTTGTTGCCCCAGAACCAGGCCCTCAGATTGGTTTGAGGGTATGCTGATGGATCAGCGTGCCCCGGTCGCCCAGGTGTCCAAATCAGCGTTCATGGTTTTCTTTATACTGATTTTGCCAGTGTAAAAGTTATAAGTAAACTGAACCATCAGTGTACAAAAGAAATACAAAGTTGAATTTCCCATTCAAAATTTGTCGCTGTGAGAGCTCCTTCCAGCGATACAGAACACGTCGGCGTGCGATCTGTACAGCGCATGCATCGTTAAGAGCATGTTCCTACGGCCTCATATCAGGCAACCTCGTATCAGATTCGCGTCGAAACGCACTAAAACGCATCCAACCGCAGTTGAATACACTGAAACATTATTTAACCACGCGAAGCTGATACGAGATGTGTCTGATACGAGGTGTAGGAACACGCCCTAAGTGTGTGAGTGAGGTCTCACGAATCCCGGGCCAGGTACAGCCTAGTGGGGTCTCGTGAATCCCGGGCCAGGTACAGACTGTACACACGCGTACCACCCCGAATCGGTCTAGTCCGTTTCAGTGTGACTCACGACACTACACTGATTCGTCAGTGTTACTTGTACAGCAACACGGAAAATGGCCAGTGTGGCAAGGTATGTTATACTGAAATTTCAGTGCAAATTTGAAGCATATGCTGAATTTTCAGGGAAAACGAAAATCTGAGCTACAAAATCAGCGTAATCAGCGTGTTTTACGCTGATATCTGAGGGCCTGCCCAGAACCCATCTGCCTGGATGTCGTCGTCCACCTCCACCTCATGGGACAACTGGCACCTTCGGTGCGCCAGCACCAGTTTGTCTTCGCTCCCATCAAGGGCGTTGCTGATGCCGCAAGTGAGGAAGGCTTTCTTGATGAGGTCGGCGGGCACCGCCTTCCAGGCCCGTGAAATCCACTTGAGCACCACCTCCGGAGGTGGTTTCTTGATGCTCCCTGCATCACACGGAGTGGGGCGGGGAAAACATGAGACAAGTAAACATGCATTCAAGCTCAAGATTTGCAGACGGGAGCACATGCCGTCACTCACCTGCCGGGGTCAGGATGTTCATGCCGTCCTCCTCAAACCAATTCTGGTACTGCTGACAAATGCTTGCTTTGAAGCTCTTGTTGATCGACACATCGAGGGGCTGCAGGTCTGCCGTGCAACCCGCCGGAATGATAGCAAGCACGATGTTGAGCGCCGCGAATCTCGCCTTGACTTCTGGTGTCAGGTGACCGCGATACGAGTCGAGCACCAGCATGGCGCTACGACTCTGCAGGCCAAATTTCGGCTTCAGGAACGGCACCACGCCCGTGTTGAGCCACTCGATGACGCCTGCGGCCTCCATCCACCCGTTCGCTAGGCAGCCGACCACAACATCTGCACGCAACGAAAAAGAACGGTTGACGACTCAGGTAGTAACGGGAATAAACACGCGCGACGATCACTTACCGTTCGGGAAGTCACCCTTGGGGAGTGTCTTGCGCTTGAAAAACACCCACGGCTTCAGCTTCTCGCCTGTCGCCGTGCACGCAAGCATGACGGTCACTCTCTCCTTCTGGTACCCACCGCTGCGGATGGGCACCGACCTCACGCCCGTCTGCTCCACGGTGGTCGTCGCCGGCATCTCCAACCACAGCAGTGTCTGGTCGGCGTTGATGATGTAGCGGTTGTCAATGTCGTATTCGTTCCGGGCGTCACGTACGTACTGCCAAAAATCATTGCACTGCTCAGCCACGTCTGCGGAACAGGGAGAAAAGTACATATAGTAAACCAAATTAGTATGACGCACAGGAGACATGCGAAAAAAAAACTAAGCGTAATCGGGATAAACCAAAATCAGCAGTAAACGACCCACTTACGCTCCTGTGTTTTCTGCGCCACCTTTGGTTTCATGCGCACGCTGAGGTTCCACCGCCTGCGGAACCGCTCCGTCCACCGCTGACTGCCTTTCCACTTGACGTCCAGGTATAGAACCTTCATCACTTCTTTGGACCACTCTTGCAGCCGGCCGACCGAAACCGCAACTCCGCGGCGTCGCCACTCGAGGAGTTGCGCGTACACCTTTAACTCCATGGGGCGGTACCAAGACGATCTCCCGCGCCCGTGAAGTCGCATCCGTACTCCGTGTGCAGCCTTGAGCGCCTCCGCTTGGGCTTTCCATTCTGTCAGACATTTTCGGTGTATGCCTGACTCCCGCGCCACTTCGCTCACCGAAGCCGCAAGCTCGAGCCGCAAGAGCCACCTCAACTTCTCCTGGGCGGTGTAGCAGTGCCGCTTATGTTGATTCAGCTTGTGCCTGGGGGAGGGGGGGCGGGCATCTCGATTCTCGGTAGACGGGTGGGGGTGTTTTTTGTTAAGGGGCGGATACGTCGGTACCGTCATCTTCGCGCGTGGTGCGTCGCGCCACCAGGACTCCACACCGTCCTCGTCCTCGTCACGGTCGGGGAACACGTCTTCCTCGTCGCCCGCTGCACCGTCGCCACCAGCTTCACCGTCGCGTCGAGCTTCGCCGGCGCCGCTGTCATGTTTGTCGGTAGCCACTGAGAAGAAGTGAACGAGAATGAATCAACTATGAATGAAGTGAGTACATATAGGAAACCCTGATTGGGTTGTACCCCCTATGGGATACCCCACTATAGCCTACACAAATATATATAAGCTATAATGTTCTGACACACCCCCATAGGCAAAGTGGGGGAGAACAAGGGGTCACAAGACCAGTCAAGCAAAGCAAAGCAAAGCTCAGGGTGGATCACAAAGTCACCACACATTCCGAGCACAAGTTCAAAGGCCAGAAGGCCAGTTCACATGCAAGATCATATATAGAGATATACAAGAGGCAAGCAAGCAAGAGCAAGAGTATATATAGGTAAAAGTACAAGCAAGGTCAAGAAGTGAGCAAGTGAGGCAAGACACGCACAAGGCCCAGCTGCGTGCAGCAGCGCTGATGATCACAAGGCGCAAGTGCCTTGGTGAAGACATCAGCAGTGTTGGCCTCAGAGGCCACGTACGCAAGTCGCAACTGTCCACGCTGCTGTAGCTCACGGGCGGCACGACGGGCGGCTGCACGGGCGGCTGCACGGGCGGCTTGACGAGCGGCTGCACGGGCGACTGCACGTGCGACTCACGGGCGTCCGAGGGCGGCTGAGGGCGGCTGACGGGCGGCGCACGGGCGGTGCAGCTCACGGGCAGCCGAGGGCGGCGCACGGGCGGCGCGTCGGGCGGCGCACTGACGGCTCACGGGCGGCTGACGGGCGGCCCACGGGCGGCTCACGGGCGGCTCGTCGGGCGGCTAAGGGCGACGCGCGGACGGCGCGTGGGCTGCCTGGGGCCTAGCGAGCGGCGCGCGGGCTGTTTAGGGCGGCGCGCGGGCCGCTTAGGGTGGCGCGCGGGCTGCTAAGGGCGGCGCGCGGGCTGCTAAGGGCGGCGCGCGAGCTGCAAAGGGCGGCGCGCGGGCTGCACACGGCCTGGACGGGCGGCGCGCTAGCGTCTAGGGCGGCGCGCTGGCGGCGTGAGGCCTGAACGGGCAGCGCGCGGGCGGCTAAAGGCCAGTCGACAGAGTAAGAGAGAGCCCGGAG